TTCCACACCTGTATAATCTTCGCTAGAACCTGTTAGGTTGATAGTACTGTTTTCCCATTCTCTGAAGGATCTGAGGCCCAGAGGTGAGTGACTGACCAAGGTCACACAGCCAGTAATTGACAGAACCAGCATTACATGAGCCAGGATGTGTCTGGCTCCAAAGTGTATGGTCTTAACCAATCTAAAATGGAAGTTTATCTTTTGCAATACTGTCTTTTTTTTTTTTCTTTTGATACAGAGTTTCTTGTCCCCAGGCTAGAGTGCAGTGGTGTAATCTAGGTGCACTGCAGCCTTGACCTGAATTTTTTTTTAACCTGTAGCCGAGACTACAGGTACACACCACCACCACACCTGGCTAATTTTGTGATGCTGTAGAGATGGGGGAGGGGTGTCTCACTGTGTTGCTCAGGCTGGTCTCAAACTCCTGGGCTCGAGTGATCCTCCAGCCTTAGCTTCCCAAAGTGGTTCACAGGCATGAACCACCTCTCCCAGCCTGCAATATCATCTTAATACAAAAAATTACCCAGGCATGGCAGCTCACACCTGTAATCCCAAACTTTGGGAGGCTGAGGCGGGCAGATCATGAGGTCAGGAGCTCAAGACCAGCCCGTCCAATATGATGAAACTTCATCTCTACTAAAAATACAAAAATTAGCCGGGCGTGGTGGCAGGCACCTGTAATCCTAGCTACTGGGGAGGCTGAAGCAGAAGAATTGCTTGAACCCAGGAGGTGGAGGTTGCAGTGAGGCAAGATGGCACCACTGCACTCCAGCCTGGGTGACAGAGCGAGACCCTGTCTCAAAATGACAACAACAAAACACGAAAAATGTAAGTGATTGAGTAATCTGTGGTTCCCATCTTGCTGAAGAACATGTTTTATCTCAGTTCCAGTTTGGAATACTCCCCCTAAGCCACCAGCATAAAATACTAATGCTACTTACCGACCTTCCCTTGAGCCAGGACTAGGTAAGCGCACAGTGATCCCTTTTGCTCCTCCATTTTCTATGATGACTACACTTTGTTGACATATTTGACACACTGTTGTTTTACTATAATAGATGAAACTAATAAAGTCTATTCTGGGATCTGAAATGCTGTCACCTCCACTAATGTCAAGTTGGTGGTGCAGTAAGTGACATGATAGAATGAGCACTGAACTTTAAATCAGGAAGTCTGGGTTCATCTGACCCTGGCTTTGCTGCAGAACTAGCTGTATGAATAACTTCTTTTTTTCTTTTTCTTGGTGGCTGCTGGCTGTTTGCTAACTGCTTCATAAGCATCGGTGTTCTTAAATTTTGGTATAACCATGCAGTGTTCTAATGGGATTATTCCATACATATTGTTCTAGCTCTTTTTTCCTTCTTTAACAATATTATTTGGTTGTCTTTGTCAGCTGAATGATTAAAAATCTGCCTCTTGGTTCATTAATTCATTCAAAATGTGCTAGGCATGATTTCAGGTACCAGAGACTTTACATTGTTTTTAATGGCTGCATGGTGTTCATTATTATGAATGTACCATATTTATTCAACCATTTCCCTTCAAATAAACTAGATTATTTCCTTTTTTTTTTTTTTGTATGGTTTGAGACAGAGTCTTGCACTGTCACCAGGCTGTAGTGCAGTGGCGCAATCTCAGTTTACTGCAACCTCTCTCATGGGTTCAAGTGATTCTTCTGCCTCAGCTTCCTGAGGAGCTGGGATTATAGGTGTGTACCACCACGCCCAGCTAATTTTTGTATTTTTAGTAGAAATGGTGTTTCACCATGTTGGCTAGGATGGTCTTGATCCCTTGACCTCGTGATCTGCCCACCTCGGCCTCCCAGAATGCTGGGATTATAGGCATGAGCCACTGCACCCAGCCTATTTCCTTTTTTTGAATCTCATTATGTCATCAGGCTGTGGGGTGCAGTGGTGCAATCCTGGCTCACTGCAACCTCCTCCTCCTGGGTTCAAGCGATTCTCCTGCCTCAACCTCTGGAGTAGCTGGGATTCTAGGTGTGCGCCACCACACCCAGCTAATTTTTGTATTTTTAGTAGAGACATGGTTTTACCATGTTGGTCAAGCTGGTCTGAAACTCCTGACCTTGTGATCCATCCACCTGCCTCAGCCTCCCAGAGTGCTGGGATTACAGGCATGAGCCACCTGGCCTGGCCCCTCCATTTTTTTTTTTTTAACTAACAATGAGATACTGAGTATATGTGTGGTGCTAAGACTTCCTTCTTATATCCACTTATGTTGTGTAGTTCTTTTTTCTTACTGATTTATGGTATGTTTTTATAGTTTTATTAGTCTGATTATCCACCTTAAATTTTTAGTATTTTTCTGAACAATGAGGTGTTTAAATCCTCTGAAATGTATTTTGCATATGTATCATACAAAGTGTATAGGAATCTGCCTTCCTTTCCAAATGGATTTAATTTTTATAGCAGCATTTATTGAATTATTTTCCTTACCTATTGATTTCTCCATATATCCTCATATCTCTCTCTGTGATTTTCCATTTTAATCCCCTGATCCATCTGCTTGGGTTATACTGTCTTTCAGTAACATTATCTTGATATAATTTCAAACTTTAAAAAGGGTGCAAGAACAATACCCAACACTCCCACATAATCTTTACCCACATTCTTAACATTTTGTTCCATTTGCTTTGTCACTCTCTATCTTGGTGCAGATAGTTTTATTCTTTTTTTTTAACCATATGGTATAGACAGTAAGCACTTTTATTTCTAAATATTTCAGTGTGTATTTCCTAAGAATGGGAATATTGATCTTTTTTTTTGTTTTTGAGACAGGGTCTCACTCTGTCACCCAGCCTGGAGCACAGTGGTGTTATCTCTACTCACTGTAACCTCTGCTTCCTGGGCTCAAGGGATCCTCCCACCTCAGCATCCCCAGTAGCTGTGACTACAGGTATGCACCACCATGCCTGGCTAATTTTTGTATTATTTTGTCGAGACAGGTTTTTGCCATGTTGCCCAAGCTGGTCTTGAACTCCTGGGCTCAAGCAATCCACCCACCTTGGCCTCCCAAAGTGCTGGGGATTACACACGTGAGCCACTGTGCCTGGCTGGGAATGTTAATCTTACATAATTTCAGTACAGTAATCATAATCAGGAAATTAAACACTGATACGTTTATCTATATACTATATGCAGATTTTGTCAGTTGTCCTATATTTTTTCCTGTTTCAAAATCTAATCTGGAATCTTGGATTGCATTGAACTGTTCAGTTCTTCAGGCTGTCTTTTTATGACCTTGACATTTTTAAAATCCTGTTTTATAGGAATGTCCCTTGATTTGGGTTTGTCTGATGTTCCCTCAAGGTTAGATTCAGGATGTGTTGGGTTTTTCTTTTTTTTTTTTAGACGGAGTTTCGCTCTTGTTACCCAGGCTGGAGTGCAATGGAGCGATCTTGGCTCACCGCAACCTCTGCCTCCTGGGTTCAGGCAATTCTTCTGCCTCAGCCTCCTGAGTAGCTGGGATTACAGGCACGCGCCACCATGCCCAGCGAATTTTTTGTATTTTTAGTAGAGACGGGGTTTCACCATGTTGACCAGGATGGTCTCGATCTCTTGACCTTGTGATCCACCCGCCTCGGCTTCCCAAGGTGCTGGGATTACAGGCTTGAGCCACCGCGCCCGGCAGGATGTGCATTTTTAAAGTCATGTGTCCTTAGTGAGGAGATACATGTGTCCCACTGTAGGCAAAGCTAAACTCAAAGAAATTGACTAGGGTATTATCTACCAGTTTTCTCTACTGTAAACTTGCTGTTTTTCCCTTTATAGTTGCTAATCTGCTAATTATATCCAATTTAAAGTAAATTGTAGTATCTGGTATTCTTGGCACTTTATATTTTCCCATAGCCTTTAGAATCACTGAATCATCCAATCCAAGATGATGGTATATTTTTTATTTTTTTCTTTAATATAATTTGAGCTTTTTCCTCATATAGGCTTTTTACCTTGTTAAATATATTCTCAGGGTTTTGATGTTTTTGTTTGTTTCTGAGACAGGGTCTTACTCTGTCACCCAGGCTGGAGTGCAGTGACATAATCTTGACTCACTACAACCTCCAGCCCCTGGGCTCAAGCGATCTTCCCCCCTCCGCTAGGATTACAGGGGTGAGCCACCATGCCTGCCCTCTCCACCCTCTTGTTGTTGGAGACAGAGGCTCACTCTGTCACTCAGGCAGTGGTATAAGTATTCTACTTACTTGGTCTTTTGATGATGGTATTAATACTAAGGGAGGCATTACGTGAAAAATAAATGTTTCAGTGCATTATAGCATGATATTTTATTTTTCTTTTATTTTGAGATGAAGTCTCACTCTGTCACCCAGGCTGGGAGTGCAAAGGCGCCATCACAGTTCACGGCTCACTGCAATCTCTATAGCATGACACTTTAAATTTTGTAACTTTATATTTGTTGATTTCTTATAAATGCTTATATTTAGAAATTTTTCTCTCTTTTTTGAAACAGTCTCGCTCTGTCACCCAGGCTGGAGTGCAATAGTGTGATTTCGGTTCACTGCAACATCCACTTCCTGGGTTCAAGCAATTCTCCTGCCTCAGCTTCCCAAGTAGCTAGGATTACAGGCGCCACCACCATGCCCAGCTAATTTTCTGTATTTTTAGTAGAGATGGAGTTTCACCATGTTGGCCAGGCTGGTCTCGAACTCCTGACCTCAGGCGATCCACTCACCTATGCCTCCCAAAGTGCTGGGATTACAGGCATGAGCCCTCATTCTGTTTTATTAAGAACTTTAAATCTGAATAGCTACAAAGTGGTATCTGCTTATATAATTATGATTTTTGTTAATGTACTAGTAGACTTCTGTAGTTCTTAATCATGGTGACTCTTTGAGTCAGTTTCCTTACCAGTAAAATAGGAATACCATCACATTTAATCTTCCTACCTTACAGGAATAAGTGTGTTCCTTGTCTTTTGGTGTAATAAAGGAAACTGTTAAAATTTTCTTCATTTCCCTTCACCAGAGTAAGCTGCACATGGAGGGCTTCCGGAGCTTGAAGGAAGGTGAGGCCGTGGAGTTCACCTTTAAGAAGTCAGCCAAGGGTCTGGAATCCATCCGTGTCACTGGACCTGGTGGGGTGTTCTGTATTGGGAGTGAGAGGCGGCCAAAGGGGAAGAACATGCAGAAGCGCAGATCAAAAGGAGACAGGTATGGATTGGAAGGCAGCTTATATAGTTTGCTAGGGGCATCCCCTATCTCTCAATCCTGCCACTTTTTGGGTCTCATTGCCAGAGTCGAAGGGAAGCCTGTGGTTCCTGGCAGCATCTAGGTGACTGAGTCTCTGCAATAGGTGGGAGCAAGGGCAGCAGGTGAGGATGGCACTGGGGGTAACTTAGTGCTTCCACTTGGGACAATTAACTTTGCTCTCGCCTCAATTGTTTTTTTTTGTTTTGAGATGGAGTCTCACACTGTTGCTCAGGCTGGAGTGCAGTGGCCTGATCTCAGCTCACTGCAACCTCCACTTCCTGGGTTCAAGCAATTCTCTGCCTCAGCCTCCCGAATAGCTGGAATTACAGGCACCCGCCACCAATGCCTGGCTAATTTTTGTATTTTTAGTAGAGACGGGGTTTTACCACCTTGGCCAGGCTGGTCTTGAACTCCTGACCTCGTGATCCACTTGCCTCAGCCTCCCAAAGTGCTGGGATTATAGGCATAAGCCACTGCGCCCAGCTCTAGCCTCAATTGTTAAGTGAAGGCAGTGATACTAACCTCATAGGATGGTTTTAAGATTAATGGAGACCATGGATTTGCAAATGATGGGACAAGATAGCATTAGTTTTATCTGTTCCTTTTTTATAAGGTCTGCAAATCGCTGTTTCCTTAATCTTGCTTGGCCTTAAAGCACCTTAGCTCTGCACAGATACTATAACTTGGCTTCTTTAATTTCTCCTATATTAAGAGTATGGAAGAATCTCTCCTATCCCCCAAGTTTCAGTTCCCAGTTCGGGTCAGTAACTTCTAATTTCTGGTATCTTGGTATTTTCAAGTTGACATGAATCTGAAGAGCTCACCTAGACAATTAGATGTGGAAAGGACTTAAAGCTCGTAAGTGGGAAGGGAAGTAAGTGACAAACCTGTACCAGAGCCCAGGTGTCCTCATTCATGGGAGGCATCTGGCCTCTTCTTGATCCTTTCTCTCACTTACTATCTTGCTTTGTACTAGGTGCTACAACTGTGGAGGTCTAGACCATCATGCCAAGGAATGCAAGCTGCCACCCCAGCCCAAGAAGTGCCACTTCTGCCAGAGCATCAGCCATATGGTAGCCTCATGTCCACTGAAGGCCCAGCAGGCCCCTAGCGCACAGGGAAAGCCAACATACTTTCGGGAGGAAGAAGAAGAAATCCACAGCCCTACCCTGCTCCCGGAGGCCCAGAATTGAGCCCCAGTGGGTGGGGGGCTATTCTTTGGCTATCAGGAAGTTTCGAGGAGCAGGCAGAGTGGAGAAAGTGGGAATAGGGTGTGTTGGGGCTAGTTGGCACTGCCATATATCTCAGGTTGGGGTTCACACCATCACCCTTTCTTCCCTCTAGGTTGGGGGAAAGGATGAGTCAAAGGAACTCCATCCATGCTCTGTCCAAATGCAAGTGAGGGTTCTGGGGGTGACCAGGAGGAGGGAATCACCCTACAACCTACACGCTTTATCTGAGGCTCCATCCCCAGAATTTCCAGCTTTTGAAAGTGGGCTGGATAGGGAAGTTGTTTTCCTTTTAAAGAAGAAGGTATAATAATAATTCCCATGCCAGAGTGAAATGATTAAGTATAAGACCAGATTCATGGAGCCAAGCCACTACATTCTGTGGAAGCGAATCTCTCAGGAATAAGGCAGTTTTTTTTTTTTCCACATCTTATATCCTCATGCCCATTTTTGGGATAGGGTGCTGGCAACTGTCCCAAGCAATGGGTAGTGATGATGGCAAAAAGGGTGCTTGGGGAACAGTTGCAGACCTGCTACTCCTACACTCACCCCGCCCCATTCTGGGTCAATGTGATTTTATTTATTTGCTCCCTTGGATACTGCACCTTGGGTCCCACTTTCTCCAGGATGCCAACTGCACTAGCTTTGTGCGAATGACGTATCTTGTGCATTTTAACTTTTTTTTTCCTTAATATAAATATTCTGGTTTTGTATTTTTGTATATTTTAATCTAAGGCCCTCATTTCCTGCACTGTGTTCTCAGGTACATGAGCAATCTCAGGGATAAGTCGGCAGCAGCTCCAGGTCTGCACAGCAGGAATACTTTTTGTTGTTTTTGCCACCGTGGAGAGCAACTATTTGGAGTGAACAGCCTATTGAACTACCTCATTTTTGCCAATGAGAGCTGGCTTTTCTGCCATAGTGTCCTCTTGAAACCCCCTCTGCCTTGAAAATGTTTTATGGGAGACTAGGTTTTAACTGGGTTGCCCCATGACTTGATTGCCTCCTACTGGAAGATTGGAAATTAGTCTAAACAGGAAATGGTGATGCAGAGAGGCTAGGAGAGGCTGGGCCAGGTGAAAGGCCCAGAGAGGAAGCCAAGATTAGGTGAGGGTTGTCTAATCCTAGAGCACAGGATGGGCTCTACATCCCAGATCCATATTTCACCAGATTAGACGAGGCCTACCATGCACAACAGGGTGTGTGTGTGTCATAAAACCAGAGTTGGTAAGGATAAGTTTTGAGACCAGTACCCCTGTACTTAATCCTGTGCTGTCAAGGGATGGCTATATGAAGTAGGGTCTAAAATCCTTAACCTGTCAAAATTCTTGGGTTCCAGGAAGACACATGAGCAGGGCTTTGTGGTGCCTGGGGCCGGTGTCCTGCCCTGCTGCAGTAGTGATTCCTAGTGTCACGGTGGCTAAAGGAGAAAAGGGGGTTTCGTTTACATGCTGTGAGATCACCGCAAACCTACCTCACTGTGTTGAAACGGGACAAATGCAATAGAACACATTGGGTGGTGTGTGTCTGATCCTGGGTTCTTGTCTCCCCTAAGTGCTGCCCCCCTCTAGTTATTGTATTTGTCTGGGCTTTGTAGGACTTCACTAATTTGGTGATTGCTAGGTGGCCTAGTTTGTGTAAATATAATGTATTGGTCTTTCTCCGTGTTCTTTGGGGTTTTGTTTACAAACTTCTTTTTGTATTGAGAGAAAAATAGCCAAAGCATCTTTGACAGAAGGTTCTGCACCAGGCAAAAAGATCTGAAACATTAGTTTGGGGGGCCCTCTTCTTAAAGTGGGGATCTTGAACCATCCTTTCTTTTGTATTCCTCTTTACCTATCAGACCACATCTTCTGTCCTAAAAATGTGTCTTCCACCGTGCCCTCTTTTCTGTTCACCCCCAAAAGAGAACCTACACACCCACACTCATACACATTTAATGCTTGGAGTGTCTCCACGAGTTTTAAACAATGTATGCAAAAATCCAGAAGAAGCTAGAAACCCTCCATTCCTTGTTCCAGCCTCCTGAATCAAGACCAATACATTTGTTTTGGTGCGCCACCATGTCTGGCCGAACATTTCTTGATGTATTCATGACAAACACTTAAGACACTGCTGTAGGCCAGGCGTGGTGCCTCATGCCTGTAATCCCAGTACTTTGGGCAGCTGAGGTGGGTGGATCATGAGGTCAGGAGTTCAAGACCATCCTGGCCCACACTGTGAAACCCCATCTCTACTAAAATGCAAAAAACTTAGCCAGGCATGGTGGTGTGTGCCTGTAATCCCGGCTACTCGGGAGACGGAGGCAGGGGAATCACTTGAAACTGGGAGATAGAGGTTGCAGTAAGTTGAGATCATGCCACTGCACTCCAGCCTGGGTGACAGAGCAAGACTCCATCTCAAAACAAAAACAAAAAAAGACACTGCTGTATTTTAGATGGATCAAACTTACTTAATTTTTAATCCTAAAGTAGATACAATTGGGGGCCTTCCATATAGAAAGTGGGCTCAGGAGGCCAAGAAAGGGAATATGAATGTATATCCAAGTCACTCAGAAACTTTTATGCAGGTGCTAGAAACTTATGTCAAAGTGGCCACAAGATTGTTTAATAGGAGACGAACGAATGTAACTCCATGTTTACTGCTAGAAACCAAAGCTTTGTGTAAAATCTTGAATTTATGGGAGGGAGGGTAGGAAAGCCTGTACCTGTCTGTTCTTTTCCTGATCCCTTTCCCTCATTCCTAAACTGCAGGAGATCGAGCCCCTTTGGGCTCTGGTGACCCCATCACTGGGGTGCGTTTATTTGATGGTTGATTTTGCTGTACTGGGTATTTCCTTTCCCATTTTCTAATCATTTATTAACACATGCTGACTCTTCCCTTCCCTTCTCCTTTCCCTGGAAAAATACAATGAATAAAGACTTATTGGTACTCAAACTGTCATCCCCTTGTCAGATGTTTTTTTGCCTTTCCCATGATTCCCACTTTCTTGGATTGGGACTCAGAAGTCACAGAAGAACCATTAAGTTTTTCTGTTCAGCCACTTCGTTAGGAATGAACCTTGAAAGTTCAGTTCTCTTAGCACCTCATTACAGTGGATTTTTTGTTTCTAGTTAAGGCCTCTTGTCCTTTCCTTGGAAGCTTCCACATTCAAGAGGGGATTAGGGGCTTGGCATGCATAAGAATGGGGTTGCCTGTGCCACTGGCTGGGATGAAAGGATGGGGCCATGGCTTGGGGCATGAGACCCTAATAATACTTTGTCCCCTACTACTCAAAGCCTTTTACAAATCTTAATTAACCCCTTGTAGCACCCCAAGGAGAGAAATGTGTTGAACTGGGGAAATTGAGGCCAGAGGAGAGTCACTGACTAGCTATAAATGCAACATTTTCTTAGAGCCAAAGTTTGTTAGCTTTTTGATGAACATTGAATTTTTTAATATATATATCACAAGTCATCAAGCAAGAACACTGAATTTTAAACATTATTCCCACTAAGGGAAGGAGGATTAAAAAAAAAAAAAAAAAAAAAAAAAAAAAAAACCTTGATCTACAAATCAAGTATATTAACAAAGTACAGGGAAACCGGTTTAAATCCTCAGTCCTGACATCAGAGCAAGGGTAAGAAGTTTCATACATCCATTCCAGGGACTCTGGCTCCTTAATTGCATCAAAAGTCAAAGCTAACAGGAGAATCTCATGAAGAAGCAAACTACTAGTGGGCTTCGTTAAGTCGTCTTGCTGCAAAATGAAGTAACTTGGCCTGAAATTTACTCCCCAGGTTGCAAAGCCGGGCATGGTGGTGTGTGGAAGAATGGAAAAGCTCAATACTATTAATTTCTACTCATCTTTAGGGCTTTCTTTGATGATGTTGCTGTGTTAAAATAGCCCCTTTCATTAGAAAGAGTGGAAGACATCAATTAGACTACCAGTAAAACGTCTCTTCCTTGCCTCATTTCTTTAATAATGTAAGGTGAAATGCGACAAAAGGTTCTTATGACAATTGTTAATTTCTTTTCCACTCAAAACATTCAGATGGAAGTTGTATTATGCTTTGCAAGAAATATTGGTTGTATCAGAATCTGTTAAGAATTTTTTCCTACTTTTTCAATTTTGAGAAAACTGAACGAATTTCTTTTGTGAGCCTAAAATTCTTGTAACCCTTTTCTCGTAAATGTTCAGTACAGAGCCAATGCCCTTAGCTTTTCTGCCAGGGTTAATTTATGTTATTTTCGTTTTATGTGCTGCCAAAGCGAGTACCTTTCTGTTATTTTAGAAGTCATTCTTACGGCAGAGATCCTTCTAGCCATATCCCTTTCCCTTGAGTTCTTTGGGATGGGTCTCGGGAATCCACAAATCCTAAAATACGCGTGCCTCAAAATAGATTCATATTCTGCGCGTCTGTAAGACTGCGGCTGGGAACTTCTTCCCAAAGGATTAAATCCACTAAATAAAACACGAAACGTTAACAAAATAATTTTCAAGAGTATGTACTAGTGCTGTAATGAAGGCCGGTTCTGCGGCATTCCAAGGTAAGGACGCTGCCTTGCTCCGTTTCTGAGCAGTCCTAAGCTGCCTTCGAAGGCGAGAAACGCCTCGATTCTTGGCCCCTGACACATTTCCCTGGCGCATTTTCCAGAGGCCTCTCAAGCTGCGAGTCTACAGACCCCTCCGCTGACCACGCCGTGCTCAACCCGGCCTTCCCCAGCCTGTACCCTAGCACGTGGCCTGGAGCCCGGCCTCCCGCCCCGCTGAGTCACAGGAGCCTGGCTCTCACCCACACCCTCTTCCACGTCCCGCGGGACTGAGAACTGCAGACCCAAAACGCTCGCTGGGCCCTCCCCTCCTAGCCCGCAGGCACAGGCGCAAGGCAGGGCTCCACCCCTTGAGTGACGGAGGGGGCGTGCCCCAGCGCCCAAAGATGACGTGTTCTTCTGGCGCCACGTCGTGAGGAAGTGCCGGCCCACTAAAGCAGTGAGGACGCGCCTAGCGGAGCGAATCAGGTGCGGGTGAACTGAAGGGGTGAACGAAAGGAGAGGGTGACTGAGCGCGGGGCAGCTGCGGGAGAAGCAAAAGGACGACAGAGGGAATAATCAGGAGACCACTGAGGCGTGAAGTAGCAGGGGTGCGATAACTGAAGGGGTCAGTAGCTGGGAGCGCAGAGTGGAAACAGCTTGGGGGAAGATGGAGAAGGAAGAAATGGGGAATGATCAAGAAGATGTGGTCACCATGATATGGCAGGAAACCGACTTAGATGTTCAGAAGAAGTCAGTGCAGATACTGAGGAAATGGGAATGGGAACAAGTCCGCAAAGCCAGGAGAACCGAGAAAAGGCTTTTGCCCTCCAAAGGTCTCATTGACTTATAAAACTCTGAGTGGTAAAAGATTAGAGGCTTAGACCAGTGCCTTTGGATTCTGATGCTGACTGCTCTCCACAGTCCAGCTGATTCCCCAGAAGTCAGTTACAGCTCTTTACAAACCTTGGTGTCTTCTTATTTTCTTTCTTGTTTATCCAAGATTACCTGGCTGGTGTTTGGTTGTTCCGGGGTGATCTTGTGACTGGAAAAGAACTATGTCATGGATCAAGGAAGGAGAGCTGTCACTCTGGGAGCGGTTCTGTGCCAACATCATAAAGGTGAGCAATGGCCCGGAGCACCAGTTGGTCTTATATCAAAACCCGTTATTAAGGTTGAGCAATTCATGATTTTAAGTGGAATTTAGCAAGGAAACCGAAGAGTCTTAGAATGGTAACTTCCAGGTCTACATTTCTGGTAGACTTTTGTCCTAAGTCTGACGTTTTCAGGAAGCCGAGGCCTCTCAATATCATTGGGCAGCCTATACTGCTAAATTTTTCTTATAGAGAATTGAAATTTGTTTCCCTGGAACTTGGATCCATTATCCCTTGTACTTTCCTCTGGATTTAAATAAGTTAATCTTTGATTTATTCTTAGATCTGGCAACAGAGCAATGGCTAAGAGTGGGCCTGGTTGCTTATGCCTGTAATCCCAGAAATTTAGGAGGCCAAAGTGGGCAGATTATTTGAGCTCAGGAGTCGAGACCACCCTGGGCAACATGGTCAAACCCCGATTCTACAAGTAATACAAAAATTAGCCGGGCTTGGTGACATGCACCTGTGGTCCTAGCTACTTGGAGGGTTGAAGTGGGAGAATTTCTTGAGCTCAGGTCAAAGCTGCAGTGAGTCATGATTTCGTCACTGCACTTCAACCTGGGTGACAGAATGAGACCCTGTCTCAAAAAAAAAAGAAGTTTGGGCTCTAGAGTCAGACAAACATGAATGAAAGTCCTGTTCTTCTTTTTATTTTGAGACAGTCTTGCTCTGTCACCCAGGTTGGAGTGCAATGGTGCAATCTTGGCTCACTGCAACCTTCACCTCACAGGTTCAAGCAATTCTCTTGCCTTAGCCACCCAAGTAGCTGGAGCTACAAGTGTGTTCTACCACATATGGCTAATTATTATATTTTTAGTAGAGATGGGGTTTCACCTTGTTGGCCAGGCTGGTCTTGAACTCCTGACCTCAGGTGATCTACATATCTCAGCCTCACAAAGTGCTGGGATTACAGGCCAGAGCCACTGCACCTTGCCTGAAAGTCCTGTTCTATCATTTAGTAACCATGTGAATTTAACGATTTTAGAATTGTTATGAGAATTAAATGAGACATTAATATAAAGCACTTAGCAAAATGTCTAGCAGTTCTTAATTATTAGTAGGGTTGTCTTTCAGCCATTTGAAGACTATGATCTCCCCTCTTCCCCAAATCTTCCCTCAGCTTTTTCTCTAGGAATCACAGCAATATTATATCTGCCCAAGACAGGTTTGAGATTGGGGCCAGTCAGCTTGGTTTTGTTTTTCAGCCACAGGCTGTCAAGCAGCAGGTAGTAATGAATTAATGAGTCAGTAACTTTTATACAAGCCCCACACATGCTCACACACAAATGCCAAGTGATCTCAATTAGTCGAGGGAATGGGAAGTATCTCCTTGGGGAACCACTGCAGTGGTATGTTTGGAAGAACAAGCTGCATAACTTGAATGGATTTTGGGGGACAGAAAAGCAGTCAGGGAAGAGCCCACTCAGGTAAGGAAAAAAAAATAGGCCATGGAGTCCGTTTTTGCTATGGTAGACAACTCACAGCTGCTCCAAGCCAAATAAGGGTTTTGTTTTTTGCTTTTTTTTTTGAGATGAAGTCTCACTTTGTCGCCCAGGCTGGAGTGCAGTGGCGTGATCTTGGCTCACTGCAACCTTCGCCTCCCAGGTTCAAGCAGTTCTCCTGCCTCAGCCTCCTGAGTAGCTGGGACTATAGGGGCATGGCACCACACCCGGCTAATTTTTGTACTTTTAGTAGAGACCGGGTTTCACCTTATTGGTCAGGCTGGTCTTGAACTGATCTCATGATCCACCTGCCTTGGCCTCCCAAAGTGCTGGGATTACAGGCCTGAGCCACCACACCTGGCCGAGTTTTGTTTGTTTTGTTTTTTTTTAGATGGAGTCTTACTCTGTTGCGCAGGCTGGAGTGCAGTGGTGTGATCCTGGCTCACTGCAACTTCCGCCTCCTGGATTCAAGTGATTCTCCCACCTCAGACTCCCCGAGTAGCTGAGATTATAGGCGTGTGCCACCACGCCCAACTAATTTTTTTTTTTTTTTTGTATTCTTACTAGAGTCAGGGTTTCACCATGTTGGCCAGGCTGGTCTCAAACTCCTGGCCTCAAGTAATCTACCCACCTTAGCCTCCCAAAGTGCTGGGATTACAGGTGTCAGTCACCACGCCTGGCTCCAAGTAAGTTTTGTTTGGCTCACAAAGTCTTCTGTTTGCGTCAAAAAACAAAATTTTTATAAAAATCCTGATGTTTGGTTTTCTGGCAAAATCAGCATATCCAACAATATTGGACCCCAGGTCCTGTGTGTCAGCAGTTGGCTAGAGATCAG